CTGATTTCCTTCTGCAAGATCTGGCTGGATTATTTTATGAACTTTAGGCTGGCTCTAATCTTCATAGAGTAATTCTTACACAAATTTATATAATGAGAGTCAATGGGGCCTTGTAATGGTCAAATACTGCCCCCAGCTGTACTCAACTTGGTACTGCACCATCATTTTTTTAATATTTAATCTCAATAGTTTAGTGTTTACAATACTAATATGATTTTATTTTGATGTTTTACTATATAATTGTCTTAATACTGCTTTATTGTAATATTATGCAGTTTAGTGTCAATAATTGTATTGGCAATGTGGCCTCTTTCTGCACACATACAAACCAACCCCTGGCACCACACTCTACAGCTCCAACAGTCTAATGGTCTATGTCATGGACTTTCATGTGGGACATCAGGGTTCAAAACCCGGCTAATGCAACTTTAAGAAAAAGTCTCTTCAAATTTCATATTGTTAAAACAATTACTTTAATTCTAAACACCTGCTGACATGACAGGCACAAGCTGGAATAGAAAAAACATTTGAACTTGGTCAAAGTTCATTCTGTAAGTCCATGCTGCAGGCAATGACATGCTACGTGGCAATGCACACTTGTTTTTACATCGTAAAAACCCATGTCTGGTTTCCATATGAGTTGCTGTTTGTCTGGCCTGTCACCTTGGACCACTGTGCCTTGGGAGACCCCACAGCATAGCTCCTGGATCAATCAGACTCACAAACACAAAAAGGTGATGCAATGAATTAAAGCATCAGCCCATGTATAAACTCTGAAAGGTGAGTTTGACGTCACGTTTATTCAAGAAGACATGGATTAAAGCCTTCTATACCCTTATATTGTTTATGATTTCAGCTCACAGTTAGCTACATTTGAATGATTTCTAAATTTTACTGTTTTATGTTGTCTTTTTTTAAGATTTGCTCTATTAGATGAAAAAAAAACAGGTTATTGTATCACAAAACAGGTTAAAAATACAAGGGCTACACACTGCTTATCAGACACTACTGTAACAATAGAGATGGAATGGTCATGAATTGTGTGTGAACACAAAAGTGCAGCAGTGAGAAGTGGAAGGAAGGAAGGAAGGAAGGAAGGAAGGAAGGAAGGAAGGAAGGAAGGAAGGAAGGAAGGAAGGAAGGAAGGAGTCACCTGAAAGCCTATATTAATAAGCTCATCAACTCAACATAAAAAAGCACAGACTTGATTTACTGGTGTTTACTTTCTTAATCTTCTGCAGGTGTTGCCTGTTGTGTTGTGAGAAAATGGGGCAACACCTACTGTTTTAAAGGCACAGTGTGTAGGATTTTGTCAATTCTTTTAGCCAAAATTGAGATAATCACTAATGACAATAATAAAAAAACATGTCTAATCATTGCAGACAAAGACCTTGTTTTATTATTTTTACCTTATAAAAASCTGTTTATATCTCCATGGTCGCGGGTCGCCACTACAGGCAGCCGCCATCTTGTCTACGAAGGCTCATGAAGGACAAACTGCGGCGGCGGCGTCAAAAACGGTTTTAGTTGTAATACTATAAATGTAATATTTGTTGTCTGTCATTGTAGCTGGGATAATTTTACTTATTAAAGCTCATAATCTTACCACTTGAAACACCACTAGCCCTGAAGCTGCTGGTAGACATCACGGTTGGAATTATCAAAGGTTTTTGACACCTGAGAGACACCGTAGAGTGGGGGTGGGGGGAGGACCAGGGAGGATGATTCAACCACTCAAGCACTAGATGTCGCTGAAAACATCATGTCGCTGAAAACATCAAATCCTACACACTGTGCCTTTAAAGGCTATTAGCAATAAAAAAAGAACATTAGAAGTATTTATTAGCCTCCATTTGGTCAGTCTTGTAGATAATGTGAGGAGTGGGAAATTTTGAGAATCAAAATAATTACTTTTAATAACATGAATCGTTGCTATTTATATTAATTGACGTAACGTATGCAKTCATTATTAAAGCAATTTCTATGCATTACTGACATTTTATTTCAGACAAAACTTTGTCTTTTGAGTTACTCAGGTACATTTATATTGTACTTGCTAGTATAATTGTTGTATCTCTCCCTGCAACTCAATCTGATGACTTTGACTTATATATTTATAGCTATAAATCAGTGTAATTACAGAATGTTTTCTGTAATAGCAAAATCATTTCAGCAAACAAAAGTCTGGATTTTGCTGAAAAAAAAAAAGGTCCAGAAAACCACATCTAGATACACACTGCAGTTATAATTTGGTCTAATGTAACCTCAAATAACTCATCATAAACAGGTCTGGTTTATCAACAGTTACACGGCAGACATCTGAGGCAAACATTGGCAACTACTTCTGTGGAATACAATTAACTGTTTTACAAGGAAGTAAAAAAAAAATTTAATTCAAGGCTAGAAATATGCCAGAGGTTTAAACTAAAATTATATATGCTGAGATGAGACYGAGCTAAAGATGTTTTAGTCCAAAATGATGATGTAGATGTAGATCCAGTGATTACTTTGAGTTTCATTAAAATCTGACCACAGGTTTACAAGCTGTTTTTCAGACAAACACAGACAAAAAAAWAAWAAATAAAAAATGCCTCGTCTTCTTGAAATATAGCAATGCCTGTAAGAATGAATTCATATTAGTGGCAAGTTTCCTTTTCAAAGTGTAGTGCTGCCCCCTAGTGACAAAAAAAATACTCTAGTGATGCCACCAGACAAAAGCACAGGCAGAGAAGCACTGAGGTCAAGTTTCTCTAAATTATTTTTATATTAGAAATATACAAAATATTACTGATTACAAAGAAATTGGCTTAGCTGGTCTAATCTAACACATACATTAAAAAAAAGTTTATTCCAATTCCAGTGACAGCTTATTTTAGTAGTAACAAATTTATAAAACTGACTTGAAGTAACCAGAGGAAAAAGTGAAACACATGACACTTTTTGAAAAAAATATGGCAAAAGATTACATTCATTTCAGCTACATATTCCATAAAGTGTAAAATGAAATAAAAATAGTTACAAAAATACATTAAATTCAGATGGAATGAGAGAAAACCGTTTTGCCTTCAAGCATTTCAAAAATGACTTAAAAATATTTACAACACGCCGTTCAGGACTGTTGCTGGTTAACTTGTGGGTCACTGGCACTTCAAAAGWATCTCCTGGCAGCTTTTGTAAACTTTCACCAAGCAGTTGAGCCTTGGCTTTGAGCTCTGGAAGAGAAAGAAAAGTTGGATGTTCACCAAAACAAGTTCCTACAAATGATAACAAGAGTATMTTAAGAGCCTTTTTGGAGAAACATAGGCTTTTAATGATGCAATGCAATGTCGCAACCTGAAGTTACACTTACCTGAAACAATGGCACCACACCTGACACTCCATTAGGTTCTGACTGGTCCTTCATCAGCACACACAGGTAGTAGATGATCTGATGCTGAAGTAAAAGCGTTCGGCTTCAATTAAAATGTCTGCAAACACAAAATTAGACGTGTTCACATGTGTGCTTACGTACCATATAAATAGCTTCATTTATGACGATATCTTTGATCTTGCTCATCTCAATAAAGGTGGTGACCTCGCGGCCTGAGGCATAAATGGAAGACACCTGGATGCCCAACGAGCCTATGACGAGCAGGGACTCGTGGTCCACCTTCACAAAGTGGATGTGAAGCATCATGCCAACCAGGGTGATGAGGATGGCGCTGGAGAGAACTGCTGTGTTCTGCAAAGAAATGAAGACATTTATGCACAACCTGGGAAATGTTTAAGAGATTGTTTCCAAAAATTCAAAATATTTTTACATGCATAATGCAGACAAGTCTGACCGTTTTTTTTAAATTACTTAAACACAATAATTGTGTAGATTACCTGTGTAAAGAAGAACACTGCATAAGCTATAAGCCACACAGAGCAGGTGTAGACCATAACCTTCCCAATGGACACTTTGGGGGAGCTAACAGTGAACTCCCTGCAAAAGCTGGAGTGACTCTGACARTCCAGAGTAATTGGTTTGCCACTAATATTAGTGAAGGCTTCGTCTTCCATTGCGCAGAACCCAAATACAGCTGGAGGAGAAATTAGCTTAAAGAGCTGTAAGCTAGTTAGCAGCAGTAAGCTAACGTAGGCTAACTGCTATAAACAGAGGTCAGCAGCATCATTTGAAGACGGAAGGCGATGAACAAGCGAAAAGGAAAATCAATGCCCAGAAGCTATCTTACTACAGTGATAGATATATTTTTTTTAAAAAAAATCAAAAACCAGTAAATATACTGACTGTGGCAAAGTCAAATGAAATAATGGAAGCAACTAATGTCCATTTTAGTTGCTTTGTTTTTCTCACCGGGGCGTTCTGTGAAATCGGGGCTTCAACAAATGCGTCCAGTAAACACGATTAGACCCCGTTATTAGCGAAAAAATGAATTAATGCATCTTATATTAATAACTTGCCATTTCTGTTCAATTTGTAAATGTTATGGTTTACAATTATACTTGTTTTTGTCTAACTAASCGGTTTTGGACGCACCGGTGTACAAACCAAGCAAACCTTTAAAGCAGCTGGAAGGAGCAAAGCATTATGGGTAATGGGTTTGCTAATGGATCAGGCAGAGGGACGCTGAATGGCGTGTTAGAACGTCCTAACATTTTACATTTTAAAATGAGTTTAATTTTTCTGTCAGCTCGAATACATACATTTTTATATGTTTTAATATAAAAACATGGCAGAGCAACTTCTAAAACTTTACTAAAGTATTATTANTAGAAAATTGAGCTGGACTGGAAATACAATTTATTGAGTCTGTTTTTCCACTTTCATTCGGGATAGATGTCGGTCTTTCATGAAAAAGAACTCGTTTTTTCTCATTAAATTGAGAAATACGTGTAGGATACAATGAACGTCTCTTACAATAACAAGTCTTTGTGATGTATCAAGAGCAACAGTATCCAGGGTAATGTCAGCGTACCACCAAGAAGGACCAACCACATCC